CAAGCAAATAAAGAAGCAATAAAGAAGTAATTGCCGTTTGGTAATTTGCAGTTACCAAAAGGTGTGATTCCTTTTTCTAAAAGGAATCTCTGTCACTGTTAACTTATTTTCTAAACTCTAACTTCAAGTAAATAACCAATTTATTAAGATCTGAGATACAGTTTAAAAAAAAAAACAACAATCTAGTTTCCTTATACAGCATTATCTATGGTCTGTGGCATTTAAACATATTTTTATTGAGAATTTTCATTTGAGTGAAAGAAAAATATAAAAGAATGAAATAAGAAAAAAGAAAAAAGAAAGAAAAAAAAGTTATTTCAATATAGCACCGTAGACGCTGCAGTTTCTGTGCCTCAGAATCTAACAATAACACTTTGTGTCACATGTGTCTCTACTCTCCATTTAGCAGATGGTACCTTAAAACTTTTGGATTGCCATCTGTACCCTGTTAATGATTATAGAGGAACCCAGGAAAAAACTAGGGAGCTGGAACAAATAAATAATGTGCATTCCAGGAAAGATGGATTTATTTGTTCCACTACGAATGTTAGAGAATTCCCCTATTTCCATAAGGAGTGTTGAGACGGATGCAAAAGAAAACAGTAGGTAGCTATGCCCACATTTAAAAAATAATAATAAATATGAAAGTGGGGGGGGGGGAGATAAGAATTGGGGTTTGCTCTGAACAGGTAAGCATCCAATGTTACCGGTTACACCAGAACAGGTAGAGTTTTGCATGGCTCTCAACAGCAACCACTGTAGAACAGGAGCAACAGTACAAAATCAATTGCAGGGAACATAAACGAAATAATATTAAAAAAACCACATATATTTTATTAAAAATTCTTTAGGAATAAGAACATTTCCTTGTCAGCACTGGAACTTCACTGAAATGACTATACCAAAAGCATGGGGGGAAAATCTAGATGATGAGCTTTGTTGAAACCTGGAATTATTTCAAAAGACATGAAATGAATGGTTGAGTCTTCTGTACCCATCCCAGTATCAAAAGACTCAGCGCCTAAACATTTGTGAGATCTGGAGGACCACACTTTATTCTAAAGTGACACAATGCCTTTGTAGAAAAGAATCTTTGGTATTTAAGGCAAACATTAAAGCTGAAATTAGCTCTAATTCCAGCATGCTTTAAAAAGAAACAGAACAAATCTGAATATCTACTGGCATGAAGTGACGTTAGTCTAAGAAATTTTAAAATAAAATATAGCAAATTTATTCTTCTATAACTCAGCCAGAGTTACATGATTAGTACGAAACTTATTATAATCATGTCTAAATCAAAAGCAATTTCTACTTGAAGTCATGAAATCTATTCGTCATTCTCTACATTTCCATCATGCGCTTTAGAAATGTGTGTTTCAAAACTCTTGATTTTAAATGAAGCATCAATCAGGACAGTCATATTTTATAGCTATGGCATTTTTTTCAGCTCAGAAGATTAGACATATTTTAATATCTGCAATTGTACAAAACCTTTGAAAAATGTGCATAGCAGCTTTCTTTGAAACATTTAAATAGCCATCTCCTTTGAAAGTTGTCCCCAGTAGTCTGTCCACTTTTCTACAAAAGTGTATTGTACATCTGTATTGTACATGTGCAGTGAGATAATTGGAAACATTCTGCATAGTCACTAATGAATGTAGCCTCCCATTTACTTGGGGAGTTTATTGGCTAGAGATGGGATTTGCAAACTTTGTGGGTACATTGACTGCCAAAACTTTCCGTCATCACCATCCATCTTCCAGGAGACGTTGACCACTCAAACCTGAAACCCTTTCAGAACTAGTTTCAGATTTTGCTTCAAAAACTAGCAGGCAGATTATTCAGGCAGATTGAAAGTTCTGACAGCTAACCACTATATACCAACTTGTGTATCCAAAGCTAGATTTCTTCCAGAATTTGGTCTCATCCTGAAAATGAGACCAGGAAAAATAATAGCTGTCTTCTTTAGGATAAGCAGCAACATGGTCTGATGGGATTTCAGCACTGTGTCTGAGAGTGACATGATCTTGCTGATCTAAAGTTGGATTGTTGCTAGAATTTACTTTCCCTCAGTCTACTCTAGACAGCCAACAGTTGTCTTGATGTACTTGAGTAGGTCTAGAGGAATAAGGTTCAATTCCACTTATTCTCTCTCAGCTGAACCTTCCACACAAGGTGGGTTGTTCTGGGGATAAAATGAAGAAAATTTCCCATGTAATACCCTTTGACCTCCCGAAGAAAAGTAAATCTAACAAATGATAAATAATATAAAGCGATTGAAAGAGAAAGCTAGCAAGTCTTGAAAAGAAAAGCTTCAACCACACCAATACAAGAGCACACAACAGATACAAACTCAATGTAAACCACTCCAAACTTGATTGCAGAAAGTACGACTTCAGCAACAGAGTGGTCAATGCTTGGAATTCACTACTTGACTCTGTGGTTACATCCTCTAACCCACCCACCCATTCTTTTAACCTCAGACTAACCACTTTTGACCTCACCCCATTCCTAAGAGGTCTATAAGGGGCGTGCATAAGTGCACCATTGTGCCTACCATCCGTGTCCTATTGTCCCCATTTATTCGTACCTATTTCCTGTATTCTTACTCATGTTTATACTTATACCTATTATCTTGTAAATGATTGACAAATCAAATAAATAAAATAAATTATTACTTTCATCATTTCTGCTTTTAAACATAGATGCTGTAATTTCAGTCAACCTGCTATCATGCATACATGAATTATAGAGTGATCAATTTCTATTGTTCTATTATATGTTCCTTTCTATTGTCCTTTCCTTTCAATAAATGTACCCTTAAAACAAATGAGTGTTAATGCTGCATGTGACATCTGAAATGTGTTAATGTTAAATTTTATTTATATTGTTGAGGGCAATGGGATGGCTGTCATTCATTATAAACTGCTCAAAAAAATAAAGGGAACACTTAAACAACACAATGTAACTCCAAGTCAATCACACTTCTGTGAAATCAAACTGTCCACTTAGGGAGCCACACTGATTGACAATCAATTTCACATGCTGTTGTGCAAATGGAATAGACAACAGGTGGAAAGCATAGGCAGTTAGCAAGATATCCCCAATAAAGGAATGGTTCTGCAGGTGGTGACCACAGACCACTTCTCAGTTCCTACGCTTTCTGGCTGATGGTTTGGTCACTTTTGAATGCTGGCGGTGCTTCCACTCTAGTGGTAGGATGAGACGGAGTCTATAACCCACACAAGTGGCTCAGGTAGTGCAGCTCATCCAGGATGGTACATCAATGCGAGCTGTGGCAAGAAGTTTTGCTGTGTCTGTCAGCGTAGTGTCCAGAGCACGGAGGCGCTACCAGGAGACAGGCCAGTACATCAGGATAAAGGAGGAGGCCATAGAAGGGCAACAACCCAGCATCAGTACCGCTATCTCCGCCTTTGTGCAAGGAGGGACAGGAGGAGCACTGCCAGAGCCCGGCAAAATGACCTCCAGCGGGCCACAAATGTTCATGGCTGCTCAAACGGTCAGAAACAGACTCCGTGAGGGTGGTATGAGGGCCCGAAGTCCACAGGTGGGGGTTGTGCTTACAGCCCAACACCGTGCAGGACATTTGGCATTTGCTAGAGAACACCAAGATTGGAAAATTCGCCACTGGCGCCCTGTGCTCTTCACAGATGAAAGCAGGTTCACACTGAGCACATGTGACAGACGTGACAGGGTCTGGAGCTGCCGTGGAGAACCTTCTGCTGCCTGCAACATCCTCCAGCATGACTGGTTTGGCAGTGGGTCAGTAATGGTGTGGGGTGGCATTTCTTTAGGGGGCCGCACAGCCCTCCAGGTGCTCGCCAGAGGTAGCCTGACTGTCATTAGGTACCGAGATGAGATCCTCAGACCCCTTGTGAGACCATATGCTGGCGCAGTTGGCCCTGGGTTCCTCCTAATGCAAGACAATGCTTGACCTCATGTGGCTGGAGTGTGTCAGCAGTTCCTGCAAGACGAAGGCATTGATGCTATGGACTGGCCTGCCCATTCCCCAGGCCTGAATCCAATTGAGCACATCTGGGACATCATGTCTCGCTCCATCCACCAATGCCACATTGCACCACAGACTGTCCAGGAGTTGGGGGATGCTTTAGTCCAGGTGTGGGAGGAGATCCCTCAGGAGACCATCCGCCACCTCATCAGGAGCATGCCCAGGCATTGTAGGGAGGTCATACAGGCACGTGGAGGCCACACACACTACTGAGCCTCATTTTGACTTGTTTTAAGGACATCACATCAAAGTTGGATCAGCCTGTAGTGTTTTTTTTCCTTTAATTTTGAGTGTCACTCCAAATCCAGACCTCCATGGGTTGCTAAATTTGATTTCCATTGATACTTTTTTTTCCCATTGATTTTGTTGCCAGCACATTCAACTATGTAATGAACAAAGTATTTAACAAAAATATTTCTTTCATTCAGATCCAGGATGTCTTATTTTTGTGTTCCCTTTAGGTTTTTGAGCGGTGCATGTATATAAAATTATATTCATCAATTATATTTCACTTTAAAATTAATTTTCTTAACTGGTATAATCAGTGAATAGAGTTGCAAATAAAAATTCCTATCAATGGCCTCATCGATCGATGTTTTTTTTTTTGCTTTCCAAAGAGTAATTTTGCTCATTGGCTACAACGACCTGCTGGGGAGGCGCCCGCGATTTCTACACTTTTTTTTCCTCCCAGCGGGGGAGGAATCACCGGCGCACAGCTAAACACCGACATCCTCAAGGCTTCTTTTCCCCTAGCAGGGTTCCCAGAAAGTGATTTCTACACGCTTCCTTCGTGGATTAGGAAGAGGAATGAATCCGACGTATTTTTACTAACTTTAAACGCGATGCAATAAGGACGCGCGGCGCGGGGCCCTTCTTTGAACGGAACGGAGCAGCTGCGGGGCCCGTCGATCCAGCCGGACGGGTTAAAAGTGTGGGACTCGCCCGGGTCCTGGGGGAAAAAAAAAAAAAAAAAAACCACGTGGATGTTTGTTGCCCGTGAAAGAGACGCGCCTGCTTTTCGCTTCGTGAAGATGGTGAGCTGGGGCAATGGGTGCGCGGCGGGGAGGGTCGAGCTGAAAAAAACGTGGCCCCTTTTTACCGCAGTGGATTCGATGGAGTTTCGACGTCCCTTTAAGGAGCCGCGCAAACTTCGCGCCGAAACGTGTTTGCTTAGTTTTTCAGCCTTGCTGAAATGCATCCGTTTGGTTTGGAACGTATTTCCAACAAGGGTGCGTTCGTGGTGATCCAAATGCAATCTTACGCTTATGCAAAAATAAATAAATTATTTACTTGTTTCAAAGTAAACCTATTAGAGATTGCAATGGAATTTTTTATTTTGATTTTGATTTGATTTGTCAATTGTTTACAAGGTAATAAGTATAAGTGTATATACATAGTTATGAATACATGAAATGGGTACATATAAGAAAAATAAAAGAAAAATAAAAGAATTCTTAAATTCTACTTCGGGTCAGCCGTGCAGACAAATTGTTTCCTTGTGGAGTGTCATTTCTTTATCCTCTGATATTTCATGATTGCATGAAACTACCTGGGCAACTTCATCGTCAGCTATTATTTCATCAGTATGCAATAGAATAGAATTAGAATAGAATAGAATTAGAAAAGAATAGAAATAGAATAGAATTAGAATAGAGTAGAATGGAATGGAATGGAATTCTTTATTGGCCAAGTGTGATTGGACACACAAGGAATTTGTCTTGGTGTAAATACTCTCAGTATACATACAGAAAAGGCACATTTGTGAAGAATCAAGAACATAATGTACAACACTTAATGATAGTCACAGGGTACAAACAACAATCAAATGATACTAGGAAACAGTCAATATAAATCTTAAGGATACAAGCAACAAAGTTACAGTCCTACAGTCACAAGTGGGAGGGGATGGGTGATAAGGAGTAGTGAGAAGATTAACAGTAATAGTAGTGTAGACTTTTGTAAATAGTTGAACAGTGGAATTATTTGTTTAGCAGAGTGATGGCTTTCGGGGGAAAAACTGTTCTTGTGTCTAGTTGTTCTGGTGTGCAGCACTCTCTAGCGTTGTTTTGAGGGAAAGAGTTGAAACAGTTTATGTCCAGGATGTGAGGGGTCTGTAAATATTTTCACAGCCCTCTTTTTGACTCGTGCAGTATACAGGTCCTCAAGTGAAGGCAGGTAGGTAGTAATTGTTTTTTCTGCAGTCCTAATAATCCACTGAAGTCTGTGTCTGTCCTGTTGGTTTGCAGAACCAAACCAGACAATTATAGAGGTGCGGGTGATAGACTCAATAATTCCTCTGTAGAACTGAATCAGCAGCTCCTTGGGCAATTTGAGCTTTCTGAGTTGGTGCATGTTGGTGAAAATCTGCATAGGCTGATATCATGTAAAGTCATTATTATGTACTTGTGCCCAGACATCTGACATAAATATGTAAGCTGTCATTTTCTGGATGTAGTCTCTGCTGATGTCTACAGCACTCAAAGGCTGATCTGTATTGGAAAAGGCAGTTTTATAGGAAGGAGAGACAAATGACAGTTGGGCTAAAAATTTGGATATGCAATAGAACTGGATAAATGGCAGAAATTGAGGGATAGAAATGTTAAATTAACTGTCAACTGCATATAAAGAAAATTTGTATAAAATGTTTTATAGATGGCATTTTGCACCAACAAGATTGACAAAAATGTTTTAAAGATAGATCCTCTAAATATTGGAAGTGCCAGATACTTGGTTTGTATTACCATATGTTGTGGACATGCCCCAAAGCCAAGAAATATTGGATGAAAATACATACTTGGTTAGAAAAAAAAATGATAAAGCAACATATAGACTTGAAAGCAGAAAGCAGAAATATTTTTATTGGGCATCCTGCCAGAAAAATATGATAAATGGAATATGTATTTGATTTTACATGTATTAATTGCAGCCAGAATTGTAATTGCACAACAATGGAAAAATGATGAGATCCTGACAGATGAGAGTGTAATTAAGAAAATATTAGAATGTTCAGAAATGGATAGATTAAGGCTTACAAATAAGGAAAAAGAAGAAACTGAATATTTCTTGATATGGGACTTATTTTATCAATGGTTAGAAAATAAAAACAGAAATTAGAAATATGGGGATATAAAAAGGACAAATGAGATTTGTTAAAGTATATACATATTATTGTTATTTTAGTATTAATATTACTGTGATGAATACTACTGTAAACTTATGATTTCCTAAAAATAATTGTACCCAGACAACGCACTGTTTTTTTGAAATTGAATTTTTACATGTTATATAAATAAAACAAATAAAACATTAAAAAAAGGAAGGAGTGTACCTGGACGATCTGGGTGTTTGCAGTGGTACAGGGAAAAAAGGTATATATGATTATTTAGCCCAGTGTCTTAACTGCTAAGCCATCGCTCCACCGTAATATTAAACAGTGCTATTAAATATCACTGATGTTTTACATGTGTAATTTTATCAGCCTAAATTATGTATTGTAAATATTGTAAATATTTGATTATTTTTCCTTGTGTGCATTTTTATCACTTCTTCAAGTATTTGAGTTCTATGGTTAGAATGCATTCACCTTTCATTCTTTTTGTCATTGGTGATTAAAACTAAAATGCTTCCTTAAAGCTATCACTAGGTTGCCAATAAGACATACAAAAGTTGGAAAAAAAAACTGATGATAGTTTTATGAATTTACAATGAAAGAATGCATCAGTTGATTATCGGTAGAGTCTGATAATAATTTAGGAACAGTACTGATTTCTATCCATTTTTAGGACTTGTTTATTTTGAAAAGAAGTACAGAAATATGTAAATAAGATCCTTATAACGATCTTCTATAGTTAAGTGTTATGAATATATGGAAGATGTTGACTGATGCTTGAAAGGTAAATAATTCTATTAAATACTTCTATTATTTTGACTCATTATTTCAGCCCAAAACTGCCAAACCAAAACGGGGGGAGCAGGAGAAGAAAGCTATCCATCCTTACAGCAGAAAAGCGGCTCAACTTACAAAAGAAGCACACAAACAGGTTAAAAAGGAAAAGTAAGCTTTTATATATTTTCTGATGTTGAATGGTATCTGGGATAATATTCTTGCTTTAGAAATATTGATGGCTCAGCTGTTAAAGATGCTGAACTTTTTAGTTAGAAAGCTACCCCAGCTCCCGCCTATTAGTTTGAAAGCATTCAAATGCAACTAGATAAATAGCTACCACTTTGGCGAGAAGGGTGTTCCATATGCCTTGGCGTATAATTATGCTGGCCACTTGGCCATGAAAGTATCTTTGGACAACAGAGGCTCCCTCAGCTAACAAGTGGAGATGAGCACTGCCCCTTGGAATCAGATACAACTGTCAGGGGAAACTTTTACCTTCATCTTACTAATCTGCAATTTATTTAAGCGTGTATTAAAAATGAGATAAAGATATAAGCACAAATGACAGCAATCCGTTACTGTCCAGTTCTAAGATCTTTCATCATTTGCAGTGATATTGACCATGATTGATCTTACTATCGTGTTTAACTGAAAATAAGACTTGGTCAGAGGCACGGGGAAGAAGGCAGGCGATTCTGACAGCCCTCGCCGATCCGCAGGCAAGCTGAGAGACGCAAAGACCAGTCTCCTGCGGCCACCCATCTGCTCTAGCCCACTAACAGTTGGCTTTCCCACACCTCATGTGGTGCATCTGGATCGCCTGTCGTTCCCCATGCACTTCTGCCTCCGTCTGTTCCTGGTGCTGCGGCGTAAAGATGAGCGTCCCGCAGCCACCAGCCACTCCAGTCCAATTCTTAGCTTTCCCGTAACCCACATGGCACATGCAGATTGCGTGTCACCCGCCATCTCTGCCTTTGCCTGCTGCTTTGACAGGTAATCAACTCACCTACACCGCCTGGGTTGTGGCTGCTACTGGACACAGTCGGCACCCATGCACTCCCCTTCACTAGGACTTATTTTTGGGCAAGGTCTTATTTTTGGGAAAACAAAGTACAAGTGTGCTCTATTTCTGAAATTATTTTGTTTTGATCATACGACATACCCAAAACTTGCATCATGCATGTCCTTGGATTGTCTTGAATAACTGCCAAAAACTGATCTTGCTGTGACCAATTAGTTGGTGGATCATTGATTTTCCACTGGTACTAAAATTTTAAAAATCCAGTCTGTAGCAAGGTCACTGATAGAAATGCTTTTCTCTAGCATTCCTGATCAAAATCGATGACAAGGAGAAGTTAATATGCGTGTAACCCCCAGCCCAGGAATTTACAACTGAAATAGAATTCTTTATAATATTGATGCAATTTCTGTGCAAATAATCTTTAGTATTACTAGTACAACGCAGTACAATATTAATAAAACCTTCACTTTGAAACCTATTTTTAGATTATCTTTTTACTGGTGATTTAAACAATTTGGCTGTGGTGTTTTGGAAATTAAAAATGGTAGCCATTTAAAATGTATTAAACCTCTGGTTTATGATAACATGACATATTCATGTCCTATAATTTATATTTGTCAGAGATTTTGGTGCAATATATTTAGAGGCAGATACGTAGAAGTTAATCTTCAGTTAATGCAGAGTGGTTCCCAATTTTCTGTTTCTCCTTTTCTTCCAAAGTATTTGCCATGTCACCATGTGCTTTCTGTTCATTTAGCATAGAAAAGAACCCCAATGGCATAATAAAAACACACTTTGTTCCTGTTGCTTTGTTCATCTACGTAAGAGATCTTGTAGATGTGCAGGAGTTGTTTTTCTTCCAGCCTTTCCTGAAAAGTTCTAATGAGAAGAGGTTTTTGACAAGTCACTGAATCTTCACACAGCAGATAGGAATGGCATTTCCTTTTGCAGTAAAATAATCTGCTCAGTATTTCTAAAATGTTCTCTTCAGTTCATTAATCTACTAACTTTCTAATCTTGTCAGTTGTCTAATTCTGCAGAACTCGTTTTGAGGCACTGTTAATGAATCATTTGTTCATTAGGATTGCTGGGAGTAATATCATAGAAATATGCCAGTGTCGTATAATTACATTATAACTAGATATAATAAATAAATGTACAAGTATAAAGTTTACCTTATTTATTTGTGTTCTCTTTATCTAAGATGTATGGAAAATAGATCATGCTTAAGTTATACTTATATAGGAATATAGAGTGAATTTTAAGGATTCACAAACTGGCATTCAACAATACTGTCACCAAGTCTGTCATCTTAGTCACTTTATAAAATGGTAAAATGTGAGTTAGATGGTTGCTTGGGGTGCTTTTCAGAGGTGTTAAAATCAGATTTTGCAATCTCAGAGCTTTTGTATGCCATAAGGAATAGCTAGTGTTATAGCAGATGATAAAATATATATTATAAACATCTTTATGTGTAATCCACCTGCTTGCCATTTAGGGTTAAGAATTCACTTGGTAAATAAAGTAGGTATTTTCTTTGCTAAACAGATTTCTTCTCTTTCAGAGAAAAATGGTTCATATGCTTCTATTTTACATATAAATGTAAGACATTTTTTAAAATTATTTCTTGTAGAGTTTCTTCAATTTATATACTTTGTTCAACTGGCTATAACATATTTTAGAAATTAGATTGTGCTAAATATGTCATGAAATTGCAACAGAATATAAAGTTATTAAATAAATACATTGTAGGTATTTTTTTTGCAGATTGAAAAATGAAAAGGCCTTTCGGCTCAGCATTGTAGGTATGATTTTGTAAAATTAATTTTTGTTACATATCTTTAAGTATTTCCTTGGAAGAAGTTCTAGCCAATGCTAATATTTTTTTTAACTTTATATCAACTATGTTTAATATTAGGTATCCTATTCTACTATTACTTGAAATTTTGGAATACTATTTCTTTTATACAGTTCTGATTTGTTTATTAGTATGTTCTATAACATTTGGAAGTTTGGGGTAATTCATAAACTTTCTTTAAAAGAGAATATTAATCACAATTTAATAGTTACAGTTATTCACTTTTCATCTTTAAATACAAAACATATCTTTGAAATTGTGCATGTGAGAAACTAAAGAAATTTTAACAAACATAAATATTCTTCATTAGTAAATAAAAGCATTTATTACATTTACATCTTTAATTCTTTTTATAAATAACCAGATCTCCTTTTTTTTCATTGTTCTGGCAATGGATAGTACACTAGCTGGCTTTAAAAAAAAAAAAATAGATAGGAGGACTTCTGGTAAAGATTCATTATGTGTTAGACATCTCCAAAGGAGTGGACTTGACATTACGGTCAGCCCATCAACCAATTCTGCCTGACAAACTTTTTCTGAAAAAAGGAGTGATTGTAATATTATCCACTTGTACTTGACACAGGTGCTTCTTGTTAGTAGATTGCAGGAACAGAATTTTTGTGGTTGGCTCAGGAATTGAGGAGCAAAGAGTTGATGGATTCCAGCTAAGCTCTTATCTTATATATCCTATGTGCATGCAAGGCTCACTGAGCCATGTTTCTTAATCGCTTTTGGAAATTGCTTTTAAACTGCTTTCTAGTCATTAGGAACCTATGCAAGTACACATGCAATCCTTAGCAAAGGAAGTTTTAAATATAAAATTAAGACATACACAGCAAAAGGGCGATTGAAACATCAATTTTGGAAAATTACAAATGGATTGAAGATCCAGATGAATTTGAAATAAGATTTTTGAAATTAATTTTAACAATCCTTTCCGTGGGGAAATGCAGTTGTTTTGAATTCTTAAAAAAAGAAACATGAAAGGATGGGACTTTGAAAGCTGGACACTAAAGGGAACTAGAAAGAACTAAATATTACAATTTAATAAGAAGAACACATTTGATTTACTAATAAAAGAAAACTGTAGAATACATTTTTGGTTTTGTTTACATTTTATAGATTTTACAAATATCTGTTTTGATAGATTCAATGTACATGTAGAAATATATAACTATATATATAAATTTGTGCCTATATTAAACAAACTTACTTCAAAAATCATAGATTTTTTTTCATACACGTATTTTTTCATAGTTTAAGTGGTTCTTTGTTTTTAAAAACAATATTGGTGATCAATAGCTAAAATAGATTTTTTAAATGCATTGGACTCATTAATGATTTGGAATAATTAACATTCCTGTGATATTTAACAGAAATATTGAATATCGCAATGAACTAAACTTTTGTTTTGCTCTTTTTTTTTGTAGGTGAAAAATTGCTTTGGTTTCAATGTCACCTTGATCCTGACAAAATGGAATACACAAAAAAAGAAGCTTCTGAATTAGTAGAAAAGTAGGTTTATAGCAAATCTGTGTTTGGAACAAGAATGTTGAGTTAATGTTCATAATTTTACCTGCTTGGTATGTTTTTCAAAATCAAAACAATATCCTGTTCTGTGTGGTACATTAGAACATCTGTTGATATATGCATCTTTAATACTTATGCAGTGTAATTTTAACATTTCATTTATATTAATTATAAGTAATTAGACACAGTTAAATTAACAATTCTAATCTAATTGTTTTTCTAGGATAATACATATTTGTTGTGTATTATTTATAGGCAACTATTGAAGACACTTTTAGACTCAAATATCCTGTTTCTGGATTTTGTAAATTGTTATTTATTTTAAATATGAGCTGAAATTAAAAAGTAACTAATTTGAAACATACACAAAGTAGTTTGAGAGAATATATACTTTCTGCTTTTAAAAAATCTTTTCCTGGCTAAAGAATTTCTATTAATGCTATTAATTATTTTGTCAGTCAGATTGCTGTTTAAAATTTGGATGGTTGATGACATTAAGAGAGAAGAACCTCTTATATTCTTAAATATTTTCTGAGGCAGTTTAAATGTCTGTGTTTTTGTATGTATTCTTTATTCTTTTAATATTCAAGATTATTTAGTGTTTCTAAATAATTGAAAAGAACTGTTATTTTTTTAAAAAAATAATGTTCCTAAAATGACAGTTTCCTGTGTTTTAGTTATTTGCAGCGATTTCGTGATGAGTTGGAGCAGATCGAACTGCACAATAGCATTAAAGGAAGACAGTCTAGACAGCATAGTTCCAGGGAAACCGTAATCAAGCAGACTATGGAACGTGAAAGACAACAATATGAAGGCTATGGCATAGGTACGCTGTGCTAAAAAGTAATGTTATTAAAACGTGCCCCAAATATAAGAACTCTGTGTCAACTCATAAAACATTCCTATGTCTGTTTTAGTAGTTGCCATAAAAAAAGGAGGGAGGAAGGAAATTTGGAAGGTCAGTGCAGCAATTTGGAAGCGAAAGTACATTCCAACTCTTATCTTTAAAAGATTGTAACTAAAATACCAGAGTTTTTGCCGGCAAATATATTTAATTGGAGAAAGTGAATGATAACACCCAGCCTGTGAACGTGCTCAATTGGAGAATCTGGTTTATATGACGTGGGGAGGGAGGGAAACGGGGCCACAGGTGATTGTAAATTACATATGCCAAAGTTGGCTTCATACAGGGCAGTGCCAGTATGTCGCCTCTAATGAATCTTTTGAAGTTTTTTGAAGTTTGTCTCGAGAATCATGATTAAATTAGAGCGATTGTTGGAATCCTGACACTCTGCCTAACAGAGCAGTAACATGTGTTCCTCTTCTGAAGTAAATAAAAGTTGTTTTCTCATATATGATTCATACTTTATTCTCTGTATGCTGTTGAACTTTACTTGAGCTTGACATTCAAGTATCAGCTTCATGCAGATTTTAAAATAGATGGTCAGTGTAACCTTGTTTCTGATGAATTGATACAAGTTTAGACAAGTTTGTAATTTCTATTCAAATTACCCCGTCCACTTCACTTTCTATTTTTTTGTACTGTAAAATACTTAAGGAGAAATATTTATTTCCATATCTCTTGGTTAACTTGGTTCTAATTTGAGAAAAAATGATTTATACTGCTAGGGAGTGTTACTAGAAATGGTAGTTTAAGATGAAAAATTATATTGACTGATAATCTTTAAAATGCATAGTTATTTCTATTGTCCTTTATTGAGAAAAAATGACCATTCAGTGGTGTGATTTTTTTTTCTTTCCCAGTATTTACCATTTCATTAGTTTGTCTTATCAGTTAATTATAGTTTTATCTGGAAAAAATATGTGTTTTTCCAAATTTGATAGGAAATATTTAAGTAGTAAATCAGACTAATTGATTAAAGTGGCTTAATTGGCTAAAAGAATATCTTTGATATGACAGCATACAATTTTTTTCTTTGTTGCAAATAGTTTTTTCTCCTGAAAGTACTTAATATATGTACATAATCTACACACAAATGGACATTCAGAGAAGATAGCAAGAGTTAAGCGTGATAACATTCTTTCTGTCAACTTGAGCTTCTTAATGATTTGAAGGCCAAACTGATTTAAATGCAAATTCTCAAGTGTTTCTGATTCATGTAATTTTATGACCTTTTCTGCTCACTGTTGTTTGGTGAATTGCTGCAGTGGTTAAATAATGCAGTTGTTAATCAAATCAAAGGTGCTGCAGTTGACAGAAATAATTGTCAGTTGCTAATCACCCAAATTTTGATTGCTTGACTGTTTCTGTCATAGTTGAACAAGTACAAGGACTGATCATAATTTACCTGTTTTTAGGGCCATTGTATTTCAAACAGTTGCTAAATAAATGGTTATAAATTGAGACTACCTGTAGCACTATTTTTCCAAATCCTCAGAACAATTAGCATTGATGGCATGATATAACCACAACACATCAGTCACATGCCAAAGTTTGGGGATATAATTTAACATACTAATATCTTTAACACATAAATAATTCCTATGAATCTGCACATTAAAATATTATTCCAAAATTATTTCAAAGATTCAGAAGACCAAATCACATGAATAAATACTTATCAGATATTTTTTTTTACATTGCTAACTAAGTAAATCTAATTCCATCCTTTTGAATGTATTCTTTGGGGTATCCTGTAAATTTGAAATAAGATATTTTGATCTGTCAGTTTTAATTTCTAAAATAAGCAAAATAAAGAGATGAGTTAGTCTCTTTCAACTACAATAACAAAAGTCCCTTAATCTATTGGTTGATCTAGATTCAATTTCTTTCCACAGAAATCCCTGACATTGTAAACTGTAAACATCTTCGATATTTCAGGTGAGTTATTTTCTAACTATCCCCAAATGGAACAGGCAGGGATACATTACTCCAGCATAATCACTCTTAATTTTTAAAAGAGGACACAGTCTTTTAGTCCGAAGTAATCTGGTATGAACAGTCTGTTTATTTTCCAACAATGACCTGCATTATATCAGTTTCAAATAATAAAACATTTGGAACATCATATTGTGTTCCTTATGTTATACAGAATATTACTTTACAAAATGGGAATTTATCATTTGAGTGTAAAAAATAATATTGACGTACCATAACTCAGAAATAAACTGAAAACATGGTAAGTGAAAATTGAGGGTTATGGTTTTGTATATCTTTGCCTTTTTCTCTATTTTTAATTTTATTAGTATTAGACTTTTATCAAAATTAAAATGTTATTATTGGTGTTACCTTAATTGCTTGACACAATGCCTGGGGAAATCCTATTTAGGTTGAAATCCACCTAGGTTTAAAGCTTGTTTTAAATCAGTGGAAGAAGTAAACATCATGGATATCATGGATAGTGGGCCTATTACGTTCCCTTTTGGCTTCATATTATTTTTCCAGGAAACAAATAATAATAAATCCTACTAGGAAATACCTAGTTAAAGTTTAGGCTTCCTTGAAATCTGTTCTAAAAAAAAAAAAAAAAGCAACCCAAGATCATTATTACATTTGGAGAATCTGTTAACAGTGGTCTTTTTACATTCCTGTTCTGCCTTATTTCAATTCCTAGGCAAAATACATGATAAATTCAGCCTGTGGTTTGAGTTAGGCTTCCTTGAAATTGGTGTGAAAAACCAACTACACGGATTTTGAGATGCTTTTATGGCTGGAGTTTTTCTTCTTACATTTCTACTCGGCATCTGGTTACATGTGGAAGGAAGGAATTACTTTACAGTACACCAGTGGTTCTTATCTAGCCCTTAGTGAATAATCTAGAGATTTTTCCAAGTTTGGGTCATTCACGTTTTAGAAGAAGTCGGCTGCAGAAACTTTGAGAAAGCAGCGCATGTTAATTTCTCTCCCAAATAACAAAATCCAAGAATGTAATTAATTGAAAAAGACAGGCGGAAGGTTGCATTAGCAATTTTTTTTCTGATAATGCAGTCAAATTTTCTTTTTAGATACTTTCCTCAGGCTACAATAGATAGGATCAATTTATAAAGTAGGTAGAGCATTTTACATATAAATTGGACCCAAAATAGTTTGGTTTTTCTTTAATTTGATATGGGAGTTATATTTAAGTATTGTAACCCTATTTTAGAGTATACATAGTAGTTTTTCCTGTATTTCCTTCATCATGGGAATTTCAGTAAAGTCTTTTGAAACAACTCTTCTAATTAGGGAGCTTTATTCAAGGGTTATATTACAAAGATCTTTCTAATTAACGTAAAAATGTTTTAATTAGGAGCAATGATTGATCACCAACATAAATATTGTAGTTTCCATCACCTAATGCTTGTCATTTCTCTTCCATTTCTACCAGAGACTGGGATGGAGACCTGAAGAAGCTACCAAATATTAAAATGAGAAAGTTATCCAGTAAAGATCTCTGTAGTAGTAGAATGGAGAAGGCAAACACTGGAGCTGGAAATGAATTGCTTGCAACACAGGATGTGGACTAAAGAGAAATCACTGGGATATCTGCAAACCAGTATTTTGATTGTCTGTGGCAGCAAGAAGCAAGAAACCTTCCTTTCAATCAACCATGATTACCTGCAGTTCTGACCACTACAGTTTATAATATTGCATTGTCTTTTTTAAAAAAATATATAGCGCAATGTGTGTAAAGGTCATAAAAATACTTGATGTTTCATTGATAGAGCCACATTCTGATTAGTCTAAATTAACCATTCTAATGAGTCCTAAAATGCAACAAAACAACAGATTTAAAGCTTCACGAAGCAAAAGTCTGTTTTTTATCTTCCACTTCACCGACTACCTTTCCCCAGTTGTTCTTCAAGAGAAAAGTATCGATCTGATTGTCATTGCAATAGGAGCAAAGTATTTTTAGGGGTGAACTTAAATGCATCTTCCCATATCCCCAAAATGTAGCAACATTTTTTAACAGTGCATTCTGGCATCAGAATTGGAAGCATGGTGCATTGTATCACTTGAGAGGTTGGGCTTAAGAAATGTGGTCTAATTTTGGAGGAGTTACTATTAAGGACTCTATATAAAGCTTAAGGTACCCCTCACCTCCCCTTGAATTCTTCAAAACAGTAAAAATAATGGGAGGAATTGTTTCCCCATTCTCTTTAACATTAGCTCTTTTTACAAAAAGCTTTCCTGCTAAGCATACATAGGTACATAATTGTGTGTTCCAGTCTCTAGTTTATTTATAATATTGTATTGAATTGGAATGAATAAAATACAGGCTTTAAAATAAGATTGGAAAGAGTTAAAATACGGGCTATACTGTATTGAACAAAGCATATACCGATCAGCCTATTCAAGATGCCTTCTTTCTTGGATTTGACCCTTGGGTTCCTTAATTGTACAATATTTCATGTGGTAAAAGTTGTAATATTTTCATAATTCAAAATTACTAATTTTTGGATAAGCAAATAACTTGATTTCACCAGTTTGTCTTCAGAGAATCTACTAGTGGGCTTTCTACTTCGGTATTGATCTGTTTTCAAAACAAAGTTCCTTAACACTGATTTATAAATCAGATCTTGAAGCACATATTCAGGCTACTGAGACGACATTAAACTACATTCCTGAAGAACGGGGAAAGAGAATGCAATCCTGATTTTTTCTTCTTGAGTTAAACATTTGCTCAGGAAAAGGACTGGACTACATTTGGTTTCAACCAGGCCGTTTCTCACTTAAATGTCATCTGAAGCACTGAGACTGCTTCTCGGGGCATTTGATAAGGCAATGATATCTTCCTCAAGTTTGAAACTTCAGACTGGAGTTCTGAAATTCTTCAGACTGGAAACACAAAATAGTATAAATATATAATAAAAACATGATTAGTTTCTATTAAAAAAGAAACAATTTATAGCCACCTAAGAGTCATCTGTTTATTACAAATACAAATTTATTCCACAACAATTAGTTTTCTTCTCGCCCTCCCGAACCTTTTTAATACACAAATTACCCACAAAAGAGAACTGGGTAAAACAAGGAACAAACTTGCCATTCCAATGATTATATACTGTATAATAAAATATTTGCATCATAGATTGCAGTGCAGTTTTCAGAAACTGAAAGATAATTTTCAGATAAATGGGGATCTGTGTAACAATCCAATACTGACCTTTGCTATTGTCTGCTGTCTGCCTGTAGCAATTATACTAATAGTATGTTAGATTTATAGCTAGCAGGATGATTTGGAATCGAATGCTGCCTAAGAATAAAACAACCAAACAAAAAATAATGGAATTTTTTAAAAATATTTTTTTTCCTTAACGGATGAAATAATTCCACATTTTTTCTGATGTCTGTAATACACTTTAACTGGTACTCATAGAAGACAGCATCAAAGATGGCACATTGCAAATTGTGGTACAAATATATTTTTTAAATACAACTGAAAGCTGTTTTTTCATACCTGTTTCCATGTGAATCAGGTTTTAAAAATAGCATAATTCCCTAAATTCTATGGAATTAAGCCAAAACAAATCTTGGTTTAAAACTGTGGCTGGCATAATGATAAGTTCTAACTCTTGGTATGGGAATCATGTAGACCTTTTCTCCCAGTGCATCATGCTATATAAACATGCCAACATTTCTATGAATCTAGTATTTTACTGGCGCTGAATATATGAATAACCAGCCATTTACCTTTTGTCACATGCATGATAATCCTTTTACACAATGTTGCTCTGTGTGGGCGCCATTGTATGGTCTCTGCAAAATACGCAGTTGGGCAGCTGACTGCCTCAACTGACAAACATGAGTAGAACGATAAGAAATTCACATTGCAGTATTACTCTGAAAGTGCATCTTTGTTGCATATAAGTTCAGTTCTCAGCTTTTAATGCCATAGTGATCTTCTATGCAAAGCATAGTCACATTTATAAATATTTATAGTTGGAGAAGGAGCATCCACTCCAAATTATAAATATAACCCAAACTATATCCTGATCTCGGTTAGAAAAAAAAAAATGCAAACCATTCAGTTTGAATTCGATTTCAGCTTGTGGCCTGACTTTCTTTCCCGTTATCTGTATTAAATTATGGGATCGTCCAAACACCACAAAATACTATAATGTCATTTTTTTTTCTTTTATCTGAAATAGAGTTATTCAGTTTTCATTTCAGAAAGCTTTCCAGCATCATAATTCTTGTCATATCTATCATATTGTATAACATTAACTTTAATGGTTAATACTCTAGATTTCTGACAATGGTAACTCTGACTTACCCCAGTGAGAAAATACCCATTTATCTTAATGAAGTTAACTGCTTTTGCAATTTCTCAATGGAACAAACAAATATAATCATCTCAGGACAAAGATTTTACTCTTTTTTTAAAAAAAAAAATTGCAGCATGAATTATAATTCTTTTAGAAATAACCAATTGCAGTTTTTCACCATAAGCTCCCCTTATTACTGTTTTCTTGTATTAACTCACGTTACTTGGGCACAACTCACAATACAATCAACAAGCATAACAGTGATAGAAATAAGATACTTATTTTTCTGCAAATATCTTACTTTCTTTAAACCTTCTGGGTAAATACTTCCCAAATGGGATGCCAACTTCGTTGGGTCCCTGCAGGTTGCATTCTTACATTGATAGAAAATTTAAGTATCTCATTTAATCATACCTCATTTTATATTAATATATTAAAATAATAAGTACCAAATGAACTACTGAATCCTTAACTGTTAAACTCTTTCTTGTTTAGAAGTTACTGCATATACATTGTCAATTAAGTTCACACTGAAGAAATATTGTCCTAACGTGAAGGCTTTCCACATTGACTTTTTCAAAGCTATCTTTATCTTTAAAACAGCATTGGGCTGTAACTTTTGGGTGGGTTGTTGTTTTGCATATTTCTCACCCTAATAAATAGATACTGGAAATTCTAAAGCAAAAGTACTCTGGTACCCTAATACTCCGATTTAATGAATTACCCTTTCAAAGAAGAATCGTACAGATGGCCAAGAAATGATCTTAATCTACTATATAGGAATAATTACGAACTAAGTTGCTGCTCCAGATGAGTGTAGCAATTTGTCAGGGAGTTTGCTGTTAATTATTTCTGGGTCTATTGTTAACCAAGAAAAATATTTCTAATATTCTACTTTACAAATACTCAAAATCCATTATTACGTAATAAGTGCGGTTGTTTTTACAGAAACGTTATAGGGTAATCACCTTAGCATTAAGTATCACATTATCAAACAGATAATTTGTGCTTCGATGCATACCTTTATAAGAACCTTAAAAATTTGCTTTGCTCTCTCCCCCACTCCCCCCAGTTTACAATAATTAGCAAAAAGACCATAGTAGCAAATACACATAAAAGTTTTCTTTTTCTTGTAAACAGCACATAAGTAGAAGTTCTGCAAATGCAGTTCTTTTAAGCCATCAATAGTAGTGTTGGCATGTCCTTTGTTAGAAGTTTTGCTTTTCTATCTTCTTCACTTCCACTTTTAACTGTACTTAGCAAGAAAGGTGGAAAAAAAAACATTTCTGTTACATTTCAGAGGTAATGTGAAGCTTCTTATCAATTTTCCTTTCTATTTTTTTTTATGTTCCTTCTTTTTTTTCAAATATACTCTCTGGATTTGATTATCTTTTTTCCTGTAGCTAACAGAAACCTTTCACTTTATTTCCCCAAGAAATGCTACTTCCATCAAACTGGCATGACATCAGAAATAGTTTCTTCTGTTTGCTGACAGTTCGTCTCTGTCTGTGAAACCGGAACCACAACAGTATCTTTAATTTCAGTGTTCTGAATGGTGGAAGAATTTTTCTCTTCCAGTTTTTTGGCAGTATCTGGACAGTTCTGAACAAATATCACACGGTTATAAGCCTTCAGCCTTCGCCATAACTGAATGTAGACTTTACACTGCACGTACATGAAGACAAGGCCTCCAGTGAATCCAATGGCTACCACAACCAATTTTGTCCAAAACGGCCATTCTAGGACTCCTTTCCATGAGATGGAGAGAGAAAGAGAGAGAGAGAGAGAAAGAGATTAATGTTAAATTGGTCAGGACTACACAACCATCTTCATTTGCTGAGTGGTTCAGAAGCACACTATTTTCATATAAAGACAAAAGTTCTCTCTTATAGGTAGCCCTCACTTAATGACCTCATTCAAGATAAGAATTTTCACTGATAAATGAAGTGATAAATGAATAATAAATGAAGTACTTAGGTGAAGGTTCTTGTGACGGCATCGTGTAACAATGGTAGTTCTGGTAATTCCAGCTGCGGTTGTTAGGCAAGGATGTTGTGCTTCTCTTGAGCACATTCATCTCCACTTCCGTTCTCCCATACTCCTCCATCTCTGATTTTTTGTCTCCTTGAACTGTTCCTCTGACAGCTACTCCTGCCATCCCACACCATCTAACTTTCACCCCAGTTAACGCTTACCAATCTTCCTCCCATTTCTAGGTGTGCCTAGGTGTCTCTTTTCAAGGTTGCATGAGGCCTCCACGATGCTGAGCCAAGACCTTCCTTGCCTTGGCACAGATACCTCTTGTCACCAGTGGGAAGAAGATGATTAAGGCAGCTGGGGGTGGCAGAGGGGGAACAGCAATGCAGGACAGACGAAATGACGTGGGGGAGATAGGTAGAAGAGGGGAGTGAAGCGTAACATGCTATCATAAATTCAGGCAGACTGCCAAGTGCCCAAATTTTGATCATGTGACCATGGCGATATGGCAATGGCTGTAACTGAGAACCTGTCTTAATTACCACTCAGCACAGTCATAACTTCTAACTGTCAATGAATGGTAGTTATGTCAAGACTATGGCGGCTATGTAGTTAGCAACCATTTGTAAAATTAAGTTTCTTCAGTCCATTTCGTTTAAACATGGAAACGCTTTGCTGTTGAAGTAGAAGAGATTAAAAGACTTAATATGAATAAAGAAAATATGCATCCTGACTATATTTCTGTATGTTCACAGCGTGTTTCTCCCTTTGGATGAGCTAAGGGCAACTGTATGTTGCTTTGCAAAATAATCTGAGTCAGTGATCCTAGTTTCCAGGCTCAGGGCAAAGCTGGGCTTTGATTGTTCCTGTGGCTAAAGTGTAATGGAACTATTTTTTTAATGGCAAGAGTTGTTCTTGACATTAAGAAATACTCAAGACTGTGACTGACTTCTTCCCATGATGACTGCAGAAAAAAAATCTCTTAACAACGATTTGCTGTTTTTTGCTGCTAAAGCTGGTTCTCTGGAAATGCTGTCCCCTGGATTTGAATGGGAGCACTCAAGAATGACACAGGATGACTTTTGGACCCATTTGAGAAGGAGAATCTTGAAGATTCCAGTTTTTCGGATCTTTTTGAATTGATTATTTTACTTCACTTTTTGCTCTTAAAAGTCATGCGCACCAAGCCACACCCACAGAACCGGTACTAAAAAAAATTGAATCCTACCTCTAGTGTAGAGGCATGTAATTTTGGATAAAGATTCACAAAAGGACTCTGATCTGAAAGTTGCAGACCAAAATGATATCTCCACTGCCAGAGAACTGAGTTGAACACATCTGTCTCTTTGAATTTCAAGCCTGCATATCCTTACAATACTAGAAATCTGACCAAATGGAAAAGGGACAATTCTATTCTTCTGCAAAGACTGAGGGGAAATTGGAGAATGGATTTATCACACTTAACTAGAAATCAATCATATTTGTTTGGAAGATGTTTAGACTGAATCTATTATATTTAATTAAACAACAATTGATAAGAGATGGCATTAAGAAACAAACATGGATATTTGATCCAGAATAAATTACTTTTAACTTTTAGAACAATTTGTGTTAGATAAAATGCTGTGGTAAACTTCCTACAAGTGGATTACAATAACAGTTTGTCAACAGAGTCTTGAAACCTTACTCTTATCTTTTTTATTATAATTATTGTTCCTGTTAACTATTTCGTCATTAATATAGTATATAAAAAACAGGTCAATAATTTGCAAATAGATGTACTAGTTTAAAAAATTTGGGGGGAGATCGAGTTTGCAACAGGTGTGAACTAATATTATAGTAGTGTCAGTATTAGGGGGGATTACAAGTGTATACAAGTTGGATTTTTTTCCCCTTTTTGTTACACTTTTTAAATGTCTTGTTATGTTTTCTTTTTCTTTTCTTTTTCTTTATTTGGGAGTTTTGTATTTTAACTTTCTTTTGAATAAAATAAAAAAAAACAGAATGAAAAAAAAACTCCATACTGCATAGATGCAACTAAAAGTTCTAATCAACTTTTTGCTTTCCCTATGGTCCTGGAAAGTGGTAAGAGAATGAAACCCATACTGGCCGAAGCCAAGATTGGGAAAATCAATATCTGTGGAGCTGTCAGGTAAGAGCCATTGCATATAAAAAATTATAACTTGGAATATGAGAGGCGTAATTAGTAAAGAAAATGGATTAAAAAATGAAAAGGAGGAACAGAACTTTGACAGAGACCAAATATATACAAGGAAAAATGATGGATATGGAAAAAAGGCCTAAAATATAGCTTAAACCAGGGGTTCCCAACCACCGGGCCCCGGACCGGTATCGGTCCGGGGATCATTTTATACCGGGCCGCCTATTTTGCTTGGGCGCTGCCATCTTGTTTTGACGGAGCTTGAGAAAATGCTTCTGGGTGAGCTTGTCAGTCATTGGTTGGAAAGTGGCGTTTGGGTGCTGAAGGAATCTTCACGCCTTTGTTTCATCAAAGGGGGGGCGGCTTCGAACGAAGAGCCGTCCAGATGGCGGTAGAGTCTCGCATTACTCAGGAGGAGATTAAGAAAGAGCCTGAAAAGCCCATCGACTGTGAGAAGGTACAAAAGAGGAGTTGGAGGTGGCAGGGAGAAGCGGGGGACGGCTGGCTGGCCGGTCACTCGGCTCGCCTTGCCTTGGTCATGCGTGCTGACGCCAGTACCGGGCCGTGGATCATTTTGTACATTTTGTACCGGGCCGTGGTACAAAAAAGGTTGGGGCTCACTGGCTTAAACAATTTGAATTAGAAATCAGGTGGTTGTTTCATGCATATAATTAAAGGAGCAATTAGCAGCTATCAAGTTCCAATTAATGGTATTTAACATACTATTTGTTATGGTCTGCTGGTGGCCTGCGGAGCTGGCAGCAGAGTCGAACAGTGGGGAGGAACAGTCCTGGAGTCTGGATGTGGGATCTGCGTCCAACACAGTGATGGGGCCAGGGCCATCTGAAAGTTATGTGCTGACTCCAGAGCCTCCAAAATCTGACATCAGCGAGGCAGAGGAACAGGGGGAGCCTGTTCCCAGTGTGCGCTTGCGCAGAGCTGCCAGAAGGCAAGAACAGTTAAGACAAAAGGGGTGACTCGGGAGTAAGGCTTGGAGATGATTGGCCCCTCCCATAAGACATAAAGGAGGAGCAAAGGGACATGAGCCTTTGCAGGAAGAAACTTTGTTTGTTCTGGTCGGTTTAAAAATCTAAAGCTCCATGTTGACTTTGTGCTCTGTTTGGCCTTGTATAGATAATTGGCAATTTAGTAGCTGGGAGCATTTCAAGGAAGATAAAGGTGTGTGCTTATCAGACTTATCCTGAAGGACTTTGGCAGACTTCCATGGGACTATTACAAACTGTTTGGGACTCATTACGGGCTGTGAATGCATATAATTCACAGTTGAAATGGGGAAAAAAGGGGGTTTGGGGAACAGGGTGTGATTGTTACTGTCTCAGGAAGCCTTGGTCAGAACACTATTTTTGTTAGGTGACATAAACACAATGGGAGAATATTGAGACCCAGGATTGAATAAGAATTTTATTTGTTTTGTGAAAAACCTGCCCTGTTCTCCCTCCCTCCCTCCCTCTCTGTGTATTACATACATACATCAATTTGATTGCTTCTGATGAAATGAGAGAAAGGGTGACAAAGAAGAGCTGCTGAGAATCTGCGGAAATGAATTGTCACTGTACAACTGTTCAAATGTGGTCTGCTTATGGAGTGTGTGTAAGATTTGCTAAGTGCTTGTGACATCTGCCTATGCACCTGTCAAAAGGAATACTTGACTTGAATGAATGCACAATTTCTTAAGCGTACCTGGCAAGGAGTTTGGCAAAATTCTGTTTGAAATAATACAAGAGGCAAGGCGGAACAGCATTTGGGAAGCGCAGTGCAGGTTCATTTTAGGGTGCTCATGTGCAGATTTTTTGCTTTTTAGCAGTCACTGAAAAATGTGAGAAAACATTTATGATTGGCTAGATTTAGTATGCTTAAATTACACCATGTTCTACGTAGATATAAATTAAGATGTTGATTACTGAATGTGGTAGAACTGTTATACAATAGAAACAAAGCATATCTGAGAATAAACGATACACTTCGTATGGTTTGATTCAAGACTGAAAACAGTAAGTCAAAGTTGTATGTTTGATTGTTTACTACCTTTTATGGATTAATTTCTTACAAAATGCTTGCAGTGAATGTGTCTGTACCTTGTCATTCCTAAGATGCTATATTTCAGGCTGTGAACCTGAACAATTTACAGTGAATGTTATGATACAAAATGGAACATGTATCTGGCGGTCAATGTATGAACTATCAAGGCAATCTAAGATGAGAAGAAAAATTGGATGAATGACTGTAAATTATGCATATATTCTACTTCTAGCACTTGCTCCAGGCTTTTTTTTTAAATCATTTATGCACCTTGTGGAATGCTTACCCAAGATGAGAAATTTTAATTCAATGCTGGTAATAAGTATAGTCTAAGTATAGTAAGTGTATGTATGAAAACAAAAGAAGATCTAGCAAACGGTAAAATAGGAATACTTTTAACCTTATAACCTCCTTCTCTCTTTCTTCCCCCTTTCTTTTTCTTTCCTTTCCCAAATTCTTTCCCACTCTTCCTCTCCTCTCCTCTTTTCTTTCTTTTCCTTTCTTTTGCTTATTTGTGTATTGTGTATTGTGACTGGTTTTAATTGTAAAAATTAATAAACTATATTTTTTTTAAAAAATAAGTATAGTAAGTGTATAGTCGGTTACAGTGAAATGGTTTGCAAAACCTTCTGTCGACGTTGTTATAAGGGAGTGAGAGCTGGAGAAGCAAAGTCTGCAAGTTGGCTATCTATAGCAGGAATTGATGCAGTAGCGGGATTCAATTTTTTTTACTACCGGTTCTGTGGGTGTGGCTTGGTGGGCATAGCAGGGGAAGGATACTGTAAAATCTCCAGTCAGAGGTGGTAATTTGCCAGTTCTCCGAACTACTCAAAATTTCCGCTACCAGTTCTCCAGAACTGGTCAGAACCTGTTGAATACCAGTTCTGAATTGATGACTTTAAGTGTTGCAATAAAAATCATCAAGAATGAACGTAGACTGAATACAAAGTGATTCAGTGGTGCAAAAGAAATGATTTAAGGGGATTTGATTGTTGTATAGAGTGAAGAGCTAACTGAGTTCCAAAACAAATAAATGAAGAACAAATGAATGGATCAAGAGGAAAGGAAAGAAAACTTCATCTTATCAGGTCAACTGAAAATGTACAAGTTTCTACTTTTGAAGCAGTCAAAAGGACAAATTACATTATTTCTAGTGGTAATAGAAAGCCAGAGTGGGTTCGTTATATACACCTATAAATTATTTTGCATTTGAACTTTTTAATAAACTTTTAGAATCAAAAAATGTTTCCTTAAGCAAGAATATTATTTTGAACTCAGATTTGCCTATATACTTTGAATTGTCATTGTTAATCTATCACTGAAGGTTTTTTCCTGACATTTTTAAAAATGCCACGCACCATTTATTTGGCACATGGATCAGAAAAAGTGCACCTTTTAAAATGAAGATCATATGCTTGGTTTTATTAGTGAAAAATATATAAATAAGAACAGAGTGAAAAACAAGAAAAAAGGAATTCTTTTCAGAATAATTTGAGCTATTTAAGACTCCAGTTATATACAGAGGAACATATTAATGTATTTATTCTAGTTGGATTCCTTTGTCATTGTTTATTTTATTTTTCTATTATTTTACTTCTATTTACACTCAATTTTTCTTCCTTTTTATTATTTTGAGATGCCTATTATGAATAAGCCCATGGTGAGACAGGAGACAAATAAATTTAACAAATAAATAAACATGTACATTTGAATTTAATAGTTGAATTTGTACAATCTAAGACCACTAAACTATTTTTTGAGCTTTGCTCAACACACTAAATGACCAAACAAGCTGTGTTCACACGATACCTTAATCTACAGAAAACAAACCGATAGATGCAAGATGATCTAGTTCAGTTGTATACCTGTCACTGATTAGATATCTATATCTATAGGATTGTTTTATTCAATAAAGCAAATAATGGCAGGTTCATATACTGTCCTAAGCAGCATTTAGAGTGCTTTCTATAGAAGCTATATTTTCCTGTGGCAAGTATTGTTTGCAGAGGCAAAATAACATTTGATTCTGCAAATAGTACAGAAAGCACAGAATCTTTCTGGTTTCAGTGTTTGCATGAAACACACAGGATAATATTTGCATTGCATGATTCTGCTACTATATTTGTGGTTGGGAACTATATAGGATTATTGATTTATTATTTCTATTTTGATTTCTCTTGCAACTTGCCATCCTTGATCTCAGCGGATGGCAGAAGTTGTCCGACTTTGTATTGATGTGCAGACACGTTAGGCCAGGTTAGCCTTAGATAAGAAGCCACTAGAGAATAGTAGGTCTTGAGGAAAACAAATCCTGGATGAAGTCAATGGCAAATTACTTCCAACTCTTGCCAGGAAAACTTTATGGACAGGAAACAATCAGGAAATCAACTTGAAGGAAACATGTAACTTTTTCTATTCACAGAGTTCCAGAATTAATCTCCTGGAAACACCATCTGCAGGAATCATTAAATACCTGTTTGGAACTACTTATTTGGGCTATAAGAGATAATGATTTGGTTTCCTGAAAATATAAGGGATATTCTTAAATGTTGGATTCTGTGAAAAGAGGGAACCTATGATAAGGAAATGTTTATACGATCATTAAAATTATGTAGCTCAAGAACTGATTGTATTAAGTAATCAATCTTTATAGAAAGGATATGCAAATAAAACCCACTATTATGTTTTGAGTGTGTGTACTTAGTGAAACACATTTCTAGTGATTTTGAAAGTAGCACAATGTGAAAATAGGAAATTGTCAATACTCACCATTGTCATTGCCTTGCTTAATTTCCTCAGCAGTCCGATCTATCAATACGTACAATGACCAAACTACACAGGTAATAGCAATAATGTGGAATGTGACTGAGCAAACTATTTTTCTTCTTTCACTTGTTGTCATCTGCAGTTTCTCCCACTGCAAAGTGGAAACATGGGTTGATAAGACTTCAAAGAAAGTAGCTCATATCATTTTTTTCTGCAATGAGTTGCAAAGCAAATAACTCACTCTTAGTACAAACTATACAGGTGAAACTCGAAAAATTAGAACATCATGCAAAAGTTCATTTATTTCAGTAATGCAACTTAAAAGGTGAAACTAATATATGAGATAGACTTACTGCATGCAAAGCAAAGATAGTTCAAGCCGTGATTTGTCATAATTGTGATGATTATGGCTTACAGCTCATGAAAATCTCAAATATTGTGAAAAGGTTCAATATTCTAGGCTCAAAGTGTCCCATTCTAATCAGCTAATTAAGCCATAACACCTGCAAAGGGTTCTTGAACCTTTAAATGGTCTCTCAGTCTGGTTCAGTAGGAATCACAATCATGGGAAGGACTGCTGACCTGACAGTTGTGCAGAAAACCATCACTGACATCTTCCATAAGAGGAGAAAGCCTCAAAAGGTAATTGCAAAAGAAGTTGGATGTTCCTAAAGTTCTGTATCAAAGCACATTAATAGAAAGTTATGTGGAAGGGAAGTGTGAAAGAAAAAGGTGCACAAGCAACAGGAATGACCGCAGCCTGGAGAGGATTGTCAGGAAAAGGCTACTCAAAAGTGTTGGGGACTTTCACAAGGAGTGGACTGAGGCTGGAGTCAGTGCATCAAGAGCCACCAGATGCAGACGGATCCTGGACATGGGCTTCAAATGTCGTATTCCTCTTGTCAAGCCGCTTCTGAACAACAAACAATGTCAGAAGTTCTTCCCTGGGCTAAAGAAAGACAATTGGTCTGTTGCTCAGTTGTCCAAAGTCCTCTTTTCTGATGAGAGCAACTTTTGTATCTCATTTGGAAACCAAGGACCCAGAGTCTGGAGGAAGAATGGAGAGGCACACACTGCAAGATGCTTGAAGTCCAGTATGAAGTTTCCACAGTCTGTGTTGATTTGAGGAGCCATGTCATTTGCTGGTGTTGGTCCACTGTGTTTCATTTGGTTCAATGACCATGGGGTTACTGTGCTTGATTGGCCAGCAAACTCGCCTGACCTGCAGCCCATAGAGAATCTATGGGGTGTTGCCAAGAGAAAGATGAGAGACATGAGACCGAAAATGCAGAAGAACTGAGGCCGCTATTGAAGCATCCTGGTCTCCCATACCACCTCAGCAGTGCCACAGGCTGATAGCTTCCATGCCACACCACATTGAGGCAGCAATTGCTGCAAAAAGGGCCCTAACCAAGTACTGAGTACATATGCATGCTTATACTTTTCAGAGGTCTGACATTGATCTATATACAATCCTTGTTTTATGGATTGCATGTAATATTCTAATTTTCTGAGATTGTGGATTTGGGGTTTTCATGAGCTGTAAGCCATAATCATCACAATTATGGCTTGAACAAATAAATGGCTTGAACTATCTTGCTTTGCATGTAATGAGTCTATCTCATATATTAGTTTCACCTTTTAAGTTGCATTACTGAAATAAATGAACTTTCGCATGATATTCTAAATTTTTGAGTTTCACCTGTAGGTGTTCTTTTTCAAAACACATCATTCAGAATTTCTTTGATAGATAATAACGTTGAATAACCTATTTGTAAAGCGTGTTATAGTAGCATAATATTTCCGACTATGGGTATTAAAACAAAAAGGAATACATTTTCATGGACTTACACATTCCTGCAGGTAGAAATTTCTCCTTTAGAACAAAGCATCAATTTGAACTCTTCTCCGATTTGGTGCCTTCAAGAATTATTAGACTACGTGCTAATTATTCTCATTTGCATTTTTACAATCTATATTTTATCATAAGCTTTGCTGCCTAGATAAAAGCAACAAAACCACACCTAGATTCTCATGGTTTATTATCCGTTCTGCCATTCTTGATTTCTGGGGATATATACGACTGCTGCAATTTCTTCCTCAGTGGTGATTCCTGCATTTCTAATAAAGAATACCCTAGTAGCCTAAATTTGTTTTAGAGTATCTCCAAATTTGTTTTAGAGAACTACTAATATGTGTAACAAATAATGTAAAACGATATTGGCAGGATAAATATCTATTCAGGGAAATGTAATTGGATTAAATAAGCAGACTGTATGCAACTATCCTAAAGTGAAGTGTTATTTTGCTCAAATCTAAATTTAAACCATGAAATTGTTTTTCTTCTTCAAAAGCAAAGGTGGGCGAGAGAAGGACCACTTTTTGATTTCTGCCATGGCTTTGAGCAATTAAGCATGCTATTTCATTTTTAAAAAAAATGAAATTAAAATTAAACTTTAATTACATGAGTGTAATTAGAGTTTAATTTTGTTCTTAGACTCACATAATAGGTATCTACCCAATAATTAACCAAAATATTTAGATAGCAGCTTTTTCTTCTGTAAAAAAAGATTTAGAATAGATACAAGCACTAAGCAGCTAAGTCAGACAACGATTGACTAGATACTGTCAACTTGTAAGTCTACTTAAAATGGGTTTTTCTTTTAAACGATATTAAATTGTGACATTCTATTATTATATTATACACCATAGGTTAAAGCTCTTATGACTGTATATAATTAAAATTTTAATAGAAAAAATATTTTGACTCCATAAGACCAGAGCCTCTCTGCTATTCATTAAAGCAGCTATTTCATTTTTTCAGGTTTCCGTAATGTCCAGTTTTATCAAAATCAACACACAAATTACAGGGCTTGCAGACAAATTCAAACAAAACTGCTCATATTGACTTTTTTAAAATATAAACTATTATAATTAAAGCAGAAAACCAGCTAATTAAAGTTATAAGATTTACAATAACAGAGTTGGAAAGGACTTTGGAAGACTTTTAGTCCAGAGACTCTGTACCAGTTGATGGTTAACCTTTTCCTGACCGAGTGCCCAAAGCGCGTGCACCTGAACCCCCAAAATGCAATGTGCGTGCCGCCCCTGCACATGCACACATCCCCCACATGCACCTTGCACCCGAGCATGCACAGCAGAGACCCAACAACCAGCTGACCAGCAGGAGGCGCGCACAGATGCATGGTGGAGCTTAACTAGAGCAATGGCTCACGTGACCACAGAGATGGCGCTGCATGCCACCTGTGGCACACATGCCATAGGTTCGCCATCACAGCCTTATACCATGCCTCACAAGTAGCTGTCTAGTCTCTTCTAAAAAGCCTTCAGTAATGGACCAACCAAAACTTCTGAAGACAAGTGGTTTCACTAGGTAATTGGTGTCACTGTTAGGAAATTTATCCTTAGTTCGAAGTTGCTTCTCTCCTTGGTTAGTTTCCATCCATTGTTTCTTGTCTTGCCTTCTGGCGCATTGGAAAATAGGCTGACCCCCACTTCTTTGTGGCAGCCCCTCAAATATTGTAACAGTGCTATCATCATATACCCGCTAGTCCTACTTTCCATTCAAGATATCAATGCCAAGGTTGAAATCTTACAAAATTTTGTCCTTCAACCCTCTCCGAAGGCATCCTAAATATACTGAGTTCCAGTTCTTTCTCTGTGGAAATTCAGATAACTTCTGTGCATTGCTATGGTAAAATACCTGATTTCTTCCAAAACTCTCCACTTCTGACTATCTACTGTACTTCCCACGGATACCTTCCTCTATGATGCTTCTTCTTTGAATCCACTGATTCAGGGAGTGCCAGAAAATTTCCCTCTAGATATGAAGAATGGGAAGGGGCTGTTGACTATCCTTCTAGCATTATGTCAGATCTTGACCCTGAACTGCTCCTGCTCAGAATGTGCATGCTGTATATCAGAGGTCTCCAAACTTGGCAACTTTAGGACTTGTGGACTTCCAACTCCCAGAATTGTCCAGCCAGCTATGCTTCCAGAGAATTCTGGAAGTTGAAGTTCACAAGTCTTAAAGTTGCCAAGTTTGGGGACCCCTGCTCTATATAGTTGACATCAGGCAGAATGAGGGACTTCTAAGAAATGCTGAGATCTCCACTTTGGGTATCTTCACTTTGGGTATCTTCTCAGTCCAGACCTTCCCTATATGCTAAGAGTATGTAGGGAGTGGTTGGGTTCAAGGCAAACAGCGCCCACTTCCTTAGGAGAAACATATTGCAGACAACAGATATATTGTATTTATATAACTGTTACATTTTCCTCCATCAAGATCCCTTGTCCAAAGATTTCTATGAAAGCTTTGGACAAAGAGTGGTTCCTGTTCAGAGGTGATATTCAGCAGGTTCTGACCAGTTCTGGAAAACGGTAGAAGAAATTTTTAGTAGTTCAGAGAACTGGGCGAATCCCACCTCTGACTGGCCCTGCCCGCATCTATTATCTGCCTCCAGAGTCGCAGCTGATTGGCTGGGCTTTCTTTTGTTGCCCTGCACAGGAGAATGGAGATGGAAAGCAGGTTGGAGGGGTGGGGAGAGAATGGGGATTTTGCAGTAACGTTCCCTTGCCACGCCCACCAAGCCACGCCCACTAAGGCATGCCACACCCACCAAGCCACGTCATGCCCACCAAGCCACGCCCACAGAACCAGTAGTAAAAAAATTTGAATCCCACCACTGTTCCTGTTTTATATGACTCATGGGGAAATAACCATCCTCTTTCCCAAACCAAGGATTCTCCTCAGTATCAAGAAGAACCTATAGGTGCTGAAGCTGGAATGTAAGACTAGTCAGGGGACCTGCACTTTTGCAAGTAGAATTGCCATGGCTAACAGGGTGCAGGCATGCACATCAATGCGTCTCAGGGTCTGTGTAAATTGGATGTTACAGCAAATTCCGTATTTTAATCTGCATCTCCTGCACAGAAAATCCAAGTTCTGTTCCACCTCAAATTCTCCATCCCTATCCATTTCACTAAGGTGGCTGAGCAGGAAAATTGTGGCTTGTAAGAGACATTGGGTACATTATAGTACCAACAAGAAGCAGTGTATTTTCTTAGTTCTTGGAAGGTCTAAGTGAAAGGTTACAGGATTGATCTATGCAAATGCAGAAATGGGTCTAA